TCCCTACCTCCCAAAATTAATTGTACTGATTTTTAGAGTTTGCTCTTATGTCGGTGTCAGGAGGGATGGGGAACTATTGGTCATATCTCCTCTCATTTTGAGTTGCAAGTCTCTCCTTTTAAGATGGAGGAGTCACTATACTTTGCTTTGGCAGATTAAATAACAAGAACAGTTAATTTGCTACAATTTCTTAAAAATATGTGTTTATCTGAAGTACAATTTTATGAAGCATTTGTGTGCTTAGCTAACAAGATCTAGATTATCTGGTTAGGTATTCCCCTCAAACAATCCCAAAGGTCAGCCTGAGGTAGTTAGCAATCCCATACTGCTCTGAAAATGTACTTTAAACCCACTTATCTTCCATGACACAAAAAGCTTTCTAGTTAAGGCAGTCAATATGGGTAACCAAGAAAAAAAACAAACTAAAACATCATTATAAGTGATAAAAAACTATTAAGAGCTCCAATTATATTTTTTAAATGCCCCTCTTAATCTATATTAATACCAGCAACTACAGGTAAGCTTAGTACTCACATTACACCAAGCAAAGTAGTAGTTATAGAAAGTAAGAGCAAACTACATTCCTCTCTCCAGCACAGGAAAGTTAATTGTGTTCTCATTATGAGGACAGAAAAAAATCCCACAATCCCCAAAGTAAACAACACCGTCTAGCCAACAATGGCAAGGCTAAGCAAAAATCAAATCCCTAGGAGAATTCAGCTTAATAACTAGACCATCTAAGAATGACCAATTCAAGGCAACATGGTAAGGGTTTGGGGTTGTTTGGTTTTTTTGATATCACCTCAAGCCATGCCAGAGAGTTCACCTAAAAGGCAGCAGTAACTTCAAACAATCACTTCCATTTTCCAAGTTTTCTAAACTGAGCAATCTTTCAAACAAAATAGTCTTTCTTATATTGTTAACTTTTTAAATAGTACACATAATTTGAAGTTTGAGTAATACAATGAAGCAGGTCTGATTTGATCATGATTAATATTTTTAAGATACAGCTCTGCTTAACAAAGACTGCCAGTTACAAACCCGTAACACCTCTACCTATAGATTTCATAATGTTTGTTTGAATTCAACTCCCATTTCTGTAGATCTTCCAAGATGTTATGAAGGAAATGCTTTGTCAGTTTTACTAGGCAAGAATGAAGAAACAGGAAGACGCTTAGGGATAGCTGTAACTTCAGTCATAGATACCAGACTCACTAACACAATACAGCAAGGTACTTCTGGCAGGTCATTTACTTACCTCCACTTGCTGATTCTTGCTCTTCCCCTTCAGGAAACGTAGCCTGGCTTGGTAAGCTATTCCTAGAACGAGTGACTGACTCTAAGTGTGAAGCCCTTCCCAACAGAGATAGCTCATCTAGCACCTCTCCTTCTTTGGCTTCCAAATCAGATTTTGAAGTGGTTAACTGTTTTATGTTACCTGGTGCCATTAAACTATTTGGGTCATTTAAACAAGCTACAGTACCACTGTCCAGGCTTAATACTCTGGCACGATTCTTGGCACTGTTTGTGCTAGAAGTCCGACGTGTAGACCGTTTTTTGCTAATTCCTTCAGAGCTTACGTGGGTTTTGTGAGCATTTTCAGGGTCTGTGCCCCCACGTTCTTTAGAAACATATTTGGTCTTTAGAGCACTGTACTTTCCCTCAGGAGACTGGCATGAATGGGAGGTGGTGCTGGAAGAGCTATCACTGCTGAACTGGTGAGCTGACTGCATACTTGATGTCCTGCTCAAGTCACTTTGATCACTGGAGTCCTCATCGTGACAAAACACAGCACTGTGAGGTTTAGTACCAGATACAGCTCGGAAGGAAACATATTCCCTGTGCCGACTTGAATCAAAACTACTAGCCCGCTTTTTTCCTGTCCTTCTACGGCTGGACTTGTGGGTAGAGGCTGTTCGATGTATTAAACTAGAAGATTTTGGTCGAACATCTCCTTCTTTTTGTTTTCCACTTGTTTCTTTAGAAGCTCTTGAATCTACTAGCACAGCTAGTTTCTCACTCGGCTCATCTCTTTGTTCAGCAGCCTTCCCAGGTGGCCTGTCAGCTTGCGTAGTCAATTCATTGGCATGCGGGTTCTTATTGGCCTCTTCTGAAGCAGAGGCCCCAAGACCTTTCTGACTGTGCATCTCTTCAGATGCGTTAGAACCCTTTACCTCTTGACCACCACTGTTAGTGCTCACTTCCACAGCAGTCCTTTCACTACTAGTCCTTTTGTCAGTAGTAGAACTACTGTCATCCTCTGAGTCAACACCGCAGTCCCTTTTCTTACCATCCTTTTTCTCTTCTCTAGGAGACTCCTCCTCGTGTTCTGACAACACACTTTCTATATGCGTTGAGCTAGTATGTTCACTTTTATAGCTACTGATGGTACTGTTAGTGTCACGATCAGTCCCACTGCAGTAGCTTTCTGTTGAACCACTGCTTCTTGTACTCAGGCTTCTCAGACTGTCCACACTTTTGTCTGCTTTCAAGGATTTGCTCTTCCCACTCTTAGCCAATGGTTGAGGGCTGCTACTTTTCAGAATGTCATCTAATTGAAAAACTCCTGAAATGCAAGAGTTCTCAGCCAAGGACTCTCTGGATCCAGAAGGGGGTTTGGAAGCTTCTAACTCACTGACAGGATCTAGTCCTCGTCTTTGCTGATAGAGAGGGAAGTCATTTAGTGAAGCATCTGGAAAAGCGACAGCAGAGCTAGAAGTCCTTGGTACACCTCGTGGTCTATGATCCTTCCTATAGGAGTGAGAATGCAGAGTTACAAGCGAAGCTACTTCTGTGTCACACGCACTGGTTTTAGACTGGTCCACAAGCTGGTTGTTCGAGAGGCACACTTTGTCACTGTTGTCTCTTGGCAAATCCTGTCCAGAGGATAATGAAGGTTGGATGGAGACAAACGAGTCATTCGACACCAGACGAAAAAGCTTCCGATCAGTTGCCAAATCTGTTTAAGTACACATTTAAAGATATTCATGTAGAATGTTCATGTAAGTTATACAATCTGCTTTACAACTGCTTGTTTATATCAGATAAAGTAAACTGACAAATCCATTTGCAACTACTATGCATCACATTACCATTTAAAAGATTTCCTACCATCTGGGCAAACCTGACAGAGGTTTTATAAAAAAGAAACATCAACACCTGCTTAATCTTAGCAGGTAGTAAAAGACAACACAATTCTGACAAGTCCCCCACCTCCTCCACTGCTCATGTGTCTCAGACTTAACATTTTTATGTACCCCAAGATTTCTTAATTATAAAAGGGTATCCTGCCTTTTATTTCCTACATGCAGCAAACTGTTTCACAGCCTTTAAAATTATTAAAGAAAATAGAGTAAACTCCATTAACTTTGAAGTCACAACCTACCCACCCCCACCCCCCCAAAAAAAAAAAGAAATTAAAAAAATCACCTTTTGTACCAGATACCAAGCCAGCTCACAGTTAGCAAGGATGCAGGCACCGGCAGATGTCTATTGGTACTACAATGAAACTCCCTACAAAGTTACCAAGTTTTACTACCTCAAACTAGTACTGCTAAAGCAAATCATGAGGATTTGCTGTTAGGTCTTGGTCAGAAAAATTGCTTCTGTTACCCATCACAAGCAGTCCCCTGTAAAAACGTCCACCTGCAGGTGGTATTGAAAGTCAGGCTACTTTCCCTTTTGGCATTGCCACTAAAAATAGAAGATCTGGAGGCCAAGTTACTACAATTGCTAAATTTTTGTAGAGTGTATTTGCATATGCGTAACTTCAAGACACTTCACACACAGTTCAGTTACTCAGCTGAAAGTAGTAGAACCCTGCTGCCTATTACAACAGCATGGCCACCTGTAATCCTCTATTTTAAACATACTTTCTGCACTAAATCACAACATAATAACTGAAAGGAACCCATCAGTCAGATTAGATGGGCGAAAATGAACTGTAGTATTCCCAGGGTTAGCTTCCTGCTAATCATCAGGTACTTAAAAATCAGCAAACAAAAGACTTCCCTACAGTTTTATGCTCTGTTTTAGTCTGAGCAGATTTTTTCCTGGCAACGAAGCTAAATGAAAAATGAGATCCAAAACAAAATTGGACAGCTGAAGAGTACAAACTAGCAGTTTCCTTACATAGTAGGAAAAAAACAATTACAAAACTGATAGCTTACATATTAGAAGCAGTCTATATCTCCAGAAACGCAGGATTATTTACTTTACAGAAAAGCATGCCTGATTTTTAAAAAAAAAAAATTATTTGGCTGTACTGGAAAGTAAAGCAAATTAGTCTACATTGAATTCCATGAATCCCAGGCCACTTTCAGTATGGGAGATCATCCAGATATGTGCAAGCTAGCTATCTTTCAGCAGTAAGGAGACAGTAAATATTTATTACCTGCTGGAAGATGCCAGAGCAAGAAACACACAGCCAAAGAATAAAGTTAAAAAGTATTCAACCTATGTATCCCAGGAACTTAGCGTAATTAAGAAAAGAAACAGAGAGCTTCAAGATACCCTTTCTTAGAGTCTATCAACAAATTGCATTAATTTATTCAGCATGTTAAGCAAAGGGTCTTTGGTAACAAAATACCATGTTCAATATGCAGAAGAAGAAATTTTACCTTGTTCTTCACTCCCTTCTTTACATAGGCTAGAACTCTGGCCAAGACTTAAACTGATATCATCAGAGGTCTTGGCAGTGTCACTATCTCCTGTGAATTTTAAGAAAGAAGAGTACTAGTGCTCAAAGTATTAACACATACTTCTACATACACTGCAGATTTCTCACCTGTCATGAAAGACTGTTGCTTTTATTTTTTCATTTGAAGGTAAATAATAATAATAATAACAAGTAACACAAGATTTCTCTTATCTACTCTATTTCTTTATTTTGTATATAAGAAAGTTTATTCAACTACACAGATCTTCCATGACAAACTGGAAAAGTATCTTACACAGAACCCAATGGAAATAAATATTTTTTTCTTAAAGATATATCTACTTGAATAATCCTTTTTGCATGGCTGCCAATAAAAATGAGGGGTAGATTGTAACAAAATACTTGTAAAGATAAAAAAGGCAAGGAGAGATCAGGAAGGTGACAAATATTCACATCTCATTTTCTTTTGTCTTATTTTTGGCTTAATAAATTTACAAGATAGCAACTTTGCATATTACAAATAATGTATCTTTTCATCTCCGGAGTTCACAAGGGCTCTCCTGGACAATACTTTTGCTAGATGCCAAGCAACTAAAAGTAATCAAGTCATTGAAATTCAATAGCAGAAGGTTGATCGGTTGCATGGAACTCAAAATAGTAAGGAAAGCCCACTCAAACCAACCCCTTGGCTCTGCATTTATAAGCAAAAAACCCTTGTTGGTACATGGAAAACAGAGCATGGATTCCAGGATATTCTCTCCTACTGTTTTAGGCACATAATTTGCAACTCCAAGGAAGATTTCTTCCAATTAGTAAATGCTGTACCTACCTAGCTCACAAAAAAGTTTTGAAGATGAGTAAGGTAGACAGTATTTAGAAACAACATAGTAAACACTAGTGATTTAAAGTGCTACTGCAAGGTAATTTTAAGTAGTAGTCAAAAATCTCACCTTTGATGGTTGCTGCTGTTCCCAGACGAGATAACCCAGATCCAACCTAGAAACAGGAGGGGAGGGGGGGAAGCGCTGTAAACTTTCAGAAATTATCCAACTGTTGTTTCCTATTACTGCAATACATATATTCGCCTATACATGTAAAGGAGATTTTGAAAAGCACAAAAGCATTCAATAGCACAGTGCTCTAAAATCCTTTCTGACTCAGAGTGTTTCTACTGCAAACATAGATGACAAGGCATCTAATTATGCATCCAACTTTATCACTGCATTATTCGGTTTTATAACCAATGTACGTGGAGATTTTACTGTGCTGATTTTAAAGTTTCTAATCTAGGAATTTTCCTTGAAAATACTTAATGTGGAAACAAATTACTAGTGTGGTAGTACACTAATAACTGCTGTTGTAAAGCTGAATGTTTAATAGAGGGATCACAGGTGCCTAAAATGCTTAAAGAAAACACCATGTTAATATAAAACTTATCCATTCAACATAGCAAACACCAAACTGCTCTCATCAGAAAAGATACATATTTTTACCAGGGTTAGTTTTCAGGTCTGTCAGAGTTGATCCAATGACCAGGTAACTACAAGAACCTAAGCACTAGTACATGGAAAGTGGCAGCAGCATGAACAGGGGATGTGGCAGCTGCCCACTGGTAGCTGAATAAATTTAAATCAATTTAACCTAATCATTTTATTGTATCTTATTCCTCCCTTTCATTCCTGCAAATGCAATTTTTCTTTTGAAGACAGTTTCCTAGTACACAGATTACAGTTACCTCAAAGCAAGTAAACTGGTTAGTGGAAGACTGTGCAGTATTCCTTGATCTATTCTTGGATATTAGTTACAATCATATTTCAAGTTTACAGTATCTGCTTTTCAGTCACGTTCAACGGCCAATCAGCAGTCATGTACCTCCTCCTATGAAAACTAGCTAGCTGTTTAGGTTTGCAGCCTGCTTTTACTACATACATCCTGTAATCTGTAGCAGATTATTTTGCAGAGGTGCTAAGGAGAATTTACTCTTTCCTTCAAGAATATTGTCAATATCACCTCTCTCAAAGAACTCCAAACAGCACAGAAAAATGCATGTGTCAAATAATTAAACCATTCAGAAATAAGATAGGAGAAAAGCACTAAAAGGGAAAATCTGAACACAAGATACACATAAATGATGGCAATTTGACTTCGCTATATACTTATTATGATGCTGTTTTTCAAAAATCCCTAGTTCAAATGACTCTGGGGAAGAGCATAATTCTACTAGTTTTTCTCTGTAAGCACAGCAAATTTAAGGTAATCTGAATATGTGCGCAGATTTTATTCAGCCATACTACAGAAGAACAAAGGTTTTGCTACGTGTAATGCAAAAAAGCAGCTGGAGCTTGTTTAATGCATTTTCTTTACTATGCTGTCACTCACACTTTTAGTTAGTCATTTTGCCATGTTTCAACTTCAGTAGCATGCCTTGCTGAATACAAATACATCAGCATGGGAAAGCTATTTCACACAAAAAAAATGAACAGAACTCAGACGCTTACTGCTCACATACCCTTTTCATGCTGCAAATTCAATCACAGGGGACTACTGAGCACTAATTTTATCAGTATAGACACATTTTAAACACTATACTTCCTTTCACAGTAGCTTTAACTGTGTTATATTGTCAGCATTAAAGCACACAGGAAAGAACACAGAGCTTCTTCACATGCTTTAATATTAAAACTGTTATGTTTGGAATAGCTTTTTTTTCCCCCCCAAAGACCAGTCAAAGAAACATGATCCCCAGCCTAGTTCTATCTTCCTACATGGACCATCACTACCTATTCCTTTGAATACTACCAAATACCTTCTGTCTCCAAAGGAAAAAAATCTCTTAGAGTACCTACGCTGTATAACAGAGCATTATTCAGATAAAACACCAATATTAGCATAACATTGCACTACAATATATACTACTTGCTCAGAAAGCTAATTAGAAGGACTTGATACTATAATACCACACCAAGGATTTCCACATCATTCAAAAATATCTTCTGTATCTTTAATATGATGCTGCATTGCTAACTGTCAACATAACCTTCCAGTCTGGCTAGTCAAGCTACTTGTTCCCATGAAGAGTTGTTAAAAGAAAGATGCCACGACTGGCTAAACATCACAAGCCAAATAGAAGGAACAGCACAAGCAGCGCTATGGAAGTTGAGTTCGTAAATCTAGCAGACATAAGGAAACAGAACAACTTCCCTAGTGAAATTACAAGGCAACTAGAGCATAATGAAGTTGCATTAAAATCTAATAAAGCCAAGTTCTTCAGCACTTCCATCTGGTGCATGGCAGCCCCCATTTATTGCTTTCTTCCCACTCCTGTTGCAGTATCAAAATAGCAAAGATTTTGCAGCAGTCATCCAAAAATAAACAGTTTTAATCTTTCCATTTCTACCAGCTTATCTTGGTTTGTACTTTAGCAAATTAGCATTTTTTACTGCAGAATCTTAACTATCAGGAATAATAAATAACTTTCAGAAAGCTACTTAGCATTGCAAGAGAATCAACAGTGGGCACGTTCTAAGAAGACTTAACAGAAGCCTCCTCAAACTCAGCACAACTGCCAATTAAGCAACTAAACAACAGATCAAACAAAATTAAGGGAGAAAAACAAATATAGAACATACGGGTGAAGTTACACCTTAAGTTATCTAACAGCTCACTGATACAAAATGGAAGAGAAAAACCCGCCACAGTGGGTCTTGGTACTTATCTGACCATGCTCTGAGCCATTTTGATTTACTAAATCAGAAGACAGCTAACTGAGCAAAAGGGATAACTTTCTGATGGGACAGTAGGTTGCCTTATAAAATCCAGCCATTCCTAAAACAAACACAAGATGGGATGGGCAAGAGCCAAGCAGCTGGGAGAGTGCAATGCCACCCTAATAAAGCAGTAAGAAATACAGAAAGGTAAGTTGTTTATCCTAATACAATAGAAAAACCCATAAAATAATAAAATCAGCAAAGATTACTCTACAGATTGCAAAACCATCAGTACTAAAGCAACAACTGGAGTAGCTTTAATTCTTACCTGGTTGTTTGGATCTATCCCAGCATAAGAATTGCGTGAACTACAGCCAACAGGGGGAGTTGCTTCTCGTATGAACTCTGACATCTCAATCCCTCCACCAGGGTCACTGAGAGAAACAGAAAACAGAAGGGGGGAAAAAAAAAAAAAAAAAAGAACGATAATGTCCCAGTTAAACAGAAGTTGGTCTGTCTATGCTGAGTGCGGATTCAAAACAATTTTTCCCTTTTCAAATATCAGGGACTCAAATATATCCCAGTATCTCAGATGAATACTGCCCATTTGACACAGGAAGCTCAGTCAGAGCTGGAGCACTCTATACACTGTCAGAGAAGCTGCTGCCTTGGTAAAGTCCACTGTCACCAGCCAACACACACCGTTAAGACTTAGGAGCTACGAGACACTTTGAAATGCTGACATTTGAAATTCTCTCTGTCTATACATACAAACATGTAACTGTTGGATCATCTGTCCAACTATAATACCCAGAAGTCAATCGATAGAAAAAGTACTAAATAGAACTCTTTCAGAGAGCAGAGAAAGGACTCCAGATCTTTTCCTTACACTGGATCTGGAAGCAAAAGCAAGGATGGGTTAACCAAGAAAGCTACACGCTGTCAGTAAAAGTTATAGGAAAGGCAGAAACATACAGGGACACGGTATCTCTCTCAGGGATGCAAGCCACTTTTTTCTACCAGAAAATAACTTCCCTTCAGATAATTTACAGGCCCTACCAAAAAATATTTTGAGGTACAATATACATATATTAAGTCCTCATGATTTCACCCTCTCAGGATTAGTAAGTATTGGTTTGAAAGTATTTTGTAGATCAACATCACCAAATTGTAATTCAACACAATTCAGCTTGTCCAAAGGAGGTATTTATGAAACAAAAGTAAGTTGGACCTGTTCATTGGGACAACAGAGCGTGAAATGAGTTGGGGACTACAACTCAGGGATCCAACCTAGCACTGTGTGTTAATTGCAAAGAGGGAAAAATTGAGGCATCTTTTTTCCTCTCCCAATACAGTTCTCTTCAACCATCTTGATCCAGGAGACTTCTGAACAGAAGTAACTGCAGTGCAATTTGACACTGACACTCTCTGCTCCTTCCCAAAGATAAACAGCTGCTTACCAACAATGATTCAGAGCTGTGACAAGTCCACTCCAACATTTTGCTGGAGAAAGAACATAGACACAATCCTTCTCCAGCTGGACTAAAGAAACTAAAGATGAAGCCCTCCCAGAGAAGGGGACAGAAATGGACAGAAGCACTGCAGGACTTACTTGATAGACAGCTAGTCTCATAGAAAAGTCTCATGCAGTAAGACCAACACCTAATAATTTTTGTAATATATGGACATCAACCTAGGATGCTACAAACTGTGGACTAAAGGACCTGAAACATCCTTCATTCTGCAGCATGACATTTCAAGCTGTTGTCATCTCAGAGTGGTATAAAGGTACAACCTTCAGAAACGTTCTAGATCATATAAGAGGCCCCTGAACTTTCCTACATCCACAAGATGACCAAAAGAAAAAAAACCCTCGTTTAAAGTTCAGAATATATTGTTTCAGTAAAAATAAGCTGAACTAAGAGACAACCAGCCATAAGTTAGCAGAACAAATATGGTCCAACTCCAGACATAAGCATGCTTTTATTGATGGGCATTTAGAGAGTCCCTTCTGACCCGATATTATTGGTTATGTTAAGGCAGAACCAGATAAAGAAGAAGGAAAAAAAAAATATACAGAATTCAGCTTCAATAATGTCAACCAGCTTTAGCCAAAGTATTCCTTATGTAAGCATTTTAAGAACACATAAGGACATAACATGACGTTAAAGACTAAACTGAAAAATTACCACTTAATGTTTAAGTTCAGCATACATTATGATGACAACTGAAGATGTAACATAGAACACCTTTCACAAAAAGATGAAGTTCCTTTCCTGTTTGAATAGTTCATTCAGAAACACTGCATATGATTAAATTATGTCCTATGAAGTAGAAAAATAAGTCAATGTGAATAAGCTGTCATGCATACAACTGGGTAGTTTGCCAGAGTGGGAGAAGGAGGCGATTTTATCTAAAAGTGAACTAACAGATACCAGCATAAGCAACAATACAATCCAACACCACCACTCTGCTCACAGCTGCTATATTCTGTGACAGCCCACACAAACTAGTGGATTAACAAAAGCTAGTAACAAACAAAGTCTGCAGGAACAAGCAGGAAGTACAGATTTTTAGGATTAATCATTGTATGTATAAGGATTTGGACTACAACAGCACGTAGAATCCTTTAGGAGCAATTTTCTGCTAGTGGTGTGGCCATTCCTTTTGTGGCCATTCCTTTCTGCTATTAAGTTCTACAATCCCTTTCTTACAGTTTGTGGACTTCATACCTTAGAGCAAACTCTATGCTTTTCAGTTTGCAAACAAAAAGTTACTACACAAATTGAGAAGACTGAATAAATTATGTCCAGGTACCTGCAACAGAGACTGCCATGGAAGAGGCATTCAGAGACTGCACAAAACAAATTAAAACTAGTATTTCTAATTATTAGTAACTGTCCTATCTAAAATTACTATCCGCAGCTATATTACATCAGCATGTTGGAGACTAACCAAAAGTCTGGAGAAACTCTAAGTCTACATAAATTCAGAAGTTTCAAACCTGACTTAGGCTGATTGACTAAAGAAACCTGATATGTGGACTAGAACTTCCACACAGAATTTGGAACGAGCGATTTTGATTTCAGGACAAAGCAGAGGAAGAATTCTATTCTTTTTGTTTGAACACCTCCTTCTGTACTTAATTTCCAACTAAAATAGCATGATAACTAGTCAGAAGGCTGCTCCCAAAACACAGAAGGACCATAGCATGTGCTGCAAATGCCAGACCACACCAGTTTCAAGTAATAAGAGAAGCTTTCTTTAAAGCTTGAATCACTAATTGTAGAGTCAAAAAGGCAAAAGAACTCCAAGCCCAAGAACAGGCCTACCAGCCACAAAAAAAAACCTGCAAGGAGAAGAAATTGCAAAGGTAGAGCAAGAGTTATAGTGATTACACTTTTTTTTTCTTTCTCTTGCTCACACTTGTTTAAGTAGACTGTACGTAACTCAAATATGCAATATTGTCAGTTTTATTTTGCAGGAGAAGTATACATGAAACTCATGTAGCATCATGATTACAGCTCACCCATGCTGATGGAGACTGGGGACAAGAGCATCACCAGGTTAATGCTTTACGATACTTTGAACCATAATAGTCAGTGACACAAGAAACAAGCTGCATTCATATCCCCAAAAGCACAACTGACTTCAGTGTTTTAATGTATCTATGTGGGTTCACTGATACCCAAAGATTACACTTCCACTGTTCCTTCTACCTTTTATGTGAGATTAAGAGCCTGTATCCCCATTACTTGTTTTCATGAAACCTCACAGGACCATTACTAACATCACCTCCTTAAGTATGAAAGCAGCAACTGCTTTAGAAACTACAGAAGACCATTCCGATTCCTATCTCTAAATTAAGACTAGCTTCTTTCAAAAATACTAACTAGAGAATTTGAGCTTTATAAAGAGGATGAGGAAATACAAACACAGCATTTCCGAGGAAACAGTAAGTTGTTCTTTGCTTAAGCATGCCAAAGTTCTATGAAAACATTAAAACCTATCAGAGTTTGATGCCATTCACAAACCAATGTGAACCGAAGATAAGCGAGCTGTTCACGTAAACCTACAAACAGCACAGAATTTTTGTCAGGTATCTGAAAGTACCACTTTGCAAGTGAACATCTTCAGAAAGAAAGAACAGTAGTTCTTAGAAGCTAAACAGAATTCTGAACATAACTTTCGAACAGAAACCAAACTATTGCTTAATCCTTCCAAAATACTAATGTTCATATCTAAAATGGTCCTGGGGGGAGAGAGAGTAAAAACTCAAGGACAGCTTTGCACACTATACTGTATATCTATTTATTTGGTATCACATGCTGTAGCCTAAGCTATCAAAACTAATATTCTGACTATGCAAATATTTAAGGTAGTATATCTGCTTAGATCTTCCCTACATCCACCTTATGCTAGGGGAGCAGAGTTTTAAAAAAAAAAAAAAAACCAAACAAAAACCCCTCTGCATACACAGTTTCTTCAGAGACAGGTTTTTTATTAGTTTTCTGATTTAACTTACTAAAGAGGTGACAGCTTAATATTAAACACTCACTCTACATCCCCTCTACTGGTTTGAATGTTATCCCAGAGTTCTTGTAAGCTTCCAGGCAAAGATTAGTATATACTGTACATCCCACTTACCAAAAAGTAACTCCGTAATTTCTGCATTGACCTTGTTCCCAGTTCTAGTTAAGAGACCTGAAAGTGGGAACAAGGATCATATAAAAGTTAATGAAACTTTAGTTGGCAAGCAGGACACACAGCATCAAACTAACCTCTACTTCTGAGCTCACAAATGCTTATAACGTAGTAACTTGTCCCACGTCAAGTGCTCCTTAGACAAAACACAACTTCTGAAACATCCAGAAGTAATTCACAACACTAATAGAAGTCGCTTGCCAAGTCGGCTACTGTTTTGGAAGCAAAAGCTACATGGCTTAAAAAAAAAAAAAAAAAAAAAATGAAGCTAAGGATCACAGCTAAGATGTGTTAGCAAGGCTGCATTGAAACAGAACAGACCACTATTTACTTCCATGAATTTTATTAAGCAGAATAAGCATTAATATACATTTAGGCAAGCACTCTGCCAAAATAGCTCAATACAGTTTCAGTAAGGTATATGGTGATCTAAATGGAGTCACAATTAAAATCAGCAGGTTCAGTTACCAAAGACAACATGGAAAAAGGGTCAGGTTAGTAAAAGATTGATACAAGAAGTTACTGTATATCAACTTTAAAGGAATCCAAGACATTGTTTTTGCTAACAATAAACTCCCTGAGCTGACAGCAGACACAGAAGAATTTAAGACCCATCTCATGAGAAGCTACCCCATATGTGCAATAAAGTCCTTTTACTTCTAGACTGAGCATTTTGAAGAGCATGGCTTTAACACTTCCTTTCTTTAAGCATCCTAATAAACAGACTTAAGAGGCTTCTTTCAACTGCATTTCCTTATAGCATGTGTCTCCATTTAAAAGTTTCAGGGGCGTTGTTTGGTTTTGTGTTTTTTTTTTTCTTTTCAATAAAACACATACAACCTTTTAGGAGTCAGTGTGGGCATACTAATTGCCTCACTTTGAAAACTATTCATGGCTACTAGTACCAGAAACTCATAGACAAGATAAAGGTCTTATTTAAAAGTTAACAACTCAAGGTTGATTTATTTAGTGCAGTCTAATTCTTTAGATGGCCCCAATTATCTGGAGCCAGGCAGAGGCTTTGATAATAGAACTCCACAGTCTGATCAGACTGGTTAGGCTGGCCTTGTTGATGAGTCATCTTTTGCTCTTCTTTCTCCAAATAGTCTAGTCAGAGGATGAAAACCTCTTGTGGTTTTTTTTTTTATGTTGGTGACAGCAAAGAAAAAGATCCACGGAAAGGAATCACCTCCTATTGACAGTACTTCAGTATCATCACCTTCATTACTGAGCTGAGCAATTCCAGACTTTCCAAGTTCACAGGACCGTGTTCTCCTGAAGTAAGACACTGACTGGAGTCAAGCATTATAGCTGACTCCTGCTTTTGCAAAACTAAGCAAAACAAAACCCAATCAGACATTTAGTGATAAAAGACTTTGCATGTAGTATGTGGTCTTTGACAGCAAGATTTTTAGAACTAAGTCTACTGCTGAAATAAGATTACTTGTACTGGTTGTATTCATTAAGTATTTAGTGGCCTAATCAGCACACATTTTCCATGCTATTGTTTCAGTGCTTCCAGCATTTTCAATATTGTTCTGGAACTCCTTTGGGGGAGAAACCAGGAAATTAACTTGAATCCATCATTTCAAACCTAATACATAAATAAGTCTGCTTTTAAAGACCAAACTTAAACAGTCTTTCAGAACTACAGAGGTCTGCATCCATATTCCTCGGTGTTTATTTCAACCACTATTCCAGTTACACATCTGATGAAGACAGGACTGTTTATCATTTGAAGCAGTATACAAACATCAGCAGACACCTTACCTGGGCCCATTGCTGTCTTTCCTTTTGGCTGAAACACCGCTTTGTTCTGGTTTTGCACCTCTGTCCATATGCTCACTGGCATTCCTCTCCACAATTTCTCCCTCATCCAGTGCCCTGTGCAAACGGTAATTCACCATCTTCAAAACGATAAAGAGAGCTGCTATCACCGGGCAGTACACAGCTACTATCATCATGGAAGAAGGAAGGGCCTTTCAAAAGAGAGCAAGAAAGAGTTAATGAACACAATGTCAAACATTCATAGGAATACGTAAACTTATCTAAACTTTAACAGTTTCTTTCATACAGAAAATATCGATCATACCAAATAGCCGATGAAGGTCTAAATGCACACCCCTATAGTCAAACTGTGTACGCATATTGTTAGAAATCTAACAAGACAGATAAAAGTCCGATTACAACATATCAAAGCACTTTACAGCACGCTAAGTAGACCTATCACTGGAGTTTGAGAACGAAATTAAACTCTTGTTCTCTTTTTCCAGGCTACTGGAATGCAAGACCTAGACTAGGAAACCTAGAGCTAGCCTGATTTTTTTATGTCACACCCAATATTTTTGATTAGTTATCAATAAAGATGGGAACATTGTAACCAACTTGAAAATTAAACTAAGCACAGGCTATGACCTTACTTCAGGGCTAGTACACAGCATCAAGTCCATTTTGAAAAAACTGATGTGAGTTTCACAGCATGGTGGATGGGAGAAAACCCGCTCAACTACCCAACATAGATGTTTTGACGTCACTTGTCAGCTTCCAACAGCTGCTCTTGCACGACAAGATACTTATCAGTTACAAAAGCCCACTTTCTCCCTACCTGCATACAAAAAAAGGCTGTTTGCATTTGCAGCTCATACATTTGAGCCGTAGTCCACAAAAACCTGCAAGACCACATGCTGCAAAGATTATTTGTGCTGGACCATTACATGCCCATGGCAAGGCAGCCAATGCAGATGTTCTGAAGAGAATTTTTCAGCTGTGTCAAAGGTGGCCAGAAGCCACATGAAAAACCTCAGTCCTGAATTCAACTTTTGAAATTCCACCGAGTTAAGACTTCCCATGCAATTTTTGCTGAGGCCCATAAAGCTTTTACAGATCAATCACTTCAACCACAGATACTGATTAAGTGTGGCCTAATTTAAAAGAAGTGTTCAGAGTACTAGTTAAACTTCATATTTCGCTTCAAGGCTTTCACCCTTCTAATTCACCTTTTATTCATATTTATAATTTTGCCATTTCCCTAGGCAGTCACTAAATTAAATATTAACTCTTAGTCTTCATCCACAAACAGACCACTTTCCTTACAAAATGAACAAGAGTCTGTGTTCTCAAATATTTTGCTGCATCACTATCCTTTACCCCACTGATGGTTTAGTTCAATATAAAATTTGAACAGCCATAAATATATACACACACACACACATATACACATGACAGTCAGAATTAAACAGCATTTGTTACCCAGCACGAACATTAATTTAGTAGATGAGAAGAACAAGTGAACTGTCTTTTTAGATCTCCTAGCCTAAGGAGAATTCTAGTTTGTTTCGTACACCTAGTCTTCCTCCCTATGCAGGCCATTGTAAGAGAAGAGTCTTTATGGAGATCAAAGCCCCATGCACGTCTTGCAGAATCAAAAAGGGAACGTGACTGGAGAATAAGATAGAGAGCCCTCTATCTACACATAAAGCTAGCTTTAGTCATTTAAAAGAGATTTGATTACAACATTAATATTTCCACATATTAGTCGCAGAAGAACTAGCAGTGCTTGTCACACAATTTAAGCCATGACTGTAGCAAAAACACTGTTTAAAGAGATCTCCAAATACAAAATATTGTATTAATAAAGAGGATAAAAGAATAAACATTTCTAAATATTGTATTGTCTGTTGACTTCAGAACAAAACCAATCCTTAATCTGGCTGCTCACTTTCTGGCAGTAAGCTGAAACAAATAATCAATGCAACATTTCTAAAGCAAAACAAGTATAAATAATTGAGGCAGGTTACTTATTAGGATTCTTTTCTTAAAGAGATCAAGTTTAACCTACCTTTTCCTCCAAATCACATCAACACCTAAGCTGAGATATCCTAACTTATATTTTGCATGCTGAGCTGGACCCTAATGGACAGGAAGATTCAATTACCAAGCAAAACCTCAGGAGGAGAAAAAGGAAACAAAGCTATTTAAAAACAGCATCAGTAAGCAACCAGGAGCCACAATGCTACTAGTAGCATCCATACAATCCCTGAAGCAATGTTACAAGGGTTTCCTCAAAAAAATTTGGTGCTTCTGCTTACAAAAACTTCAGAGGCAGATAGGTTCCTGTAGGCAAGGGCAAGCCCGCTAACTGGCAAAACCTACGAGCTTCCTCCACCTACTAAGTAGTCTGCTACTCAATCACAAACACAACTTCAACTGTCCTCTCATTTACAAGTACCTGGTGTTCAGAAGCCATTACCAGGTGACAAAAGCTAGAGTAAGTCAATAGAAGGCATGCTTTTCTATTCAGTTTCTCCCCTCCACTCCATCAGCAGTGAGGCCACACAGCCTATCCAGTTTATCTCATGGAATGCAAAATCTACACATCCTGTTCTGCAAAGGAAAGCTTTAAGAACAAGTGGGGAAAGAACTAAAACACCTCACATAGCTTGCAGCAAACCCAATAAAGAATGAAAGGGTGCTTTTTCCTCACATCTTGTTTCCACTGGATTGCAGAAAGCTAAAAATAAGAGAAATTAACTCACTACTGTTCACTCTTTGCATTCATTAGTGGTTATTCCTCTCTGGATAGGGCATATAGCCTGGGAATATAAGAAATTTTAGCATGTCTGGCATCCTCTGCTGTCTGATTATACTTTACATTAAGTCTCATGCTGCGGTACAGCAGTGCTACCCATGGTACCAGCAACTCACCTGGATTCCAGCCTCAAGAGGAACAGTGACTGCAACCCAATCTAAACTGCTGGGGCCTTCTCTATTTTTCTTTGCCCCACTCAGAAGCCTTCAACTTCCATTTGGGGTCTTCTCTCCACAAGCCAAGGCAAGTTAAAGTGAGATTAGTATTTTAAACTATGCTTGACATTTTAACACATTTGAGGAAAGACAAGTCTCTCACCAGCATAACTGAGCATTCTATACAATACCATCTTCAAGATTGGAATACAAATCTAAGTCCTACAAATTTGCAGCTAGATCTCCTTTCAGTTCTTTTTGCAAGTACTAAAGCATTTTTATTGGGCACAACAGACTAAAAACCTCAGGTTAGAGCTTGTTAGGAGACACCAGCTGGCTACAAGTCTGTAGCTAGAATAGCATTTCAGAGAACATCCCATTTTACTGCACATCTCTAGTCACTTCCATTACCACCAAAAGAAAACATACACTGAACAGCAGTAGTCACAACTGAAGCTCTTGTAGGAGAGAAGAAAGAGCTAGACATGACCATACAAAAACTGCCTGCTTTAATTACATTCTGTTGAAAACTTCAGTCATCTAATGGCTGAACAAACCCAATGATTAGATAAACTCCTAGCTGAAAGTATTTCCCTAAATCTTAAAGGGAAGTTAAGATGGAGGGGGAGGGGAAAGGCACTGATTTTCTACCACCTTTCCCTCAGGAGTTACTTTTCAAATTTAAACCTTTCAGGACAACTTATGAAATCCATACTATACATGTAGACAAAGGTGAAGTGCAGAAACACACAGCTGAGAAGTGGGACTGTCTCTTCTGGAAGGTGCTGGCTGTAGGTCAGCTCAGTTGTATCACAGCACACCTTTTGTGAAAAAGTGGGTAGAAAAAGCTTTAAGCACTCCTAGATTCCAGTGGTCAACCTACAACAGAAAAGAAGCCTCAGACCATTAGTTAAGGACTAAATTATTCCCATTTGAACTACAAAGGTCACTGTATCTTGATTCAACTTTTCAAATACATAAGTGGCAGGAACCAGAGGGAATTTCATTGATCACAGGCTGTGCTGCACACTTATGAAGAAACAAAGACCATATGGATCTTACCTAATCACATCTAGCTTTAGCTACACACTACAGATGCAATGACGCTTCCAGATTCTTTTCAAAAAGAGATGTGTAGGTGTTACCTGTTGAGAACATTCATAGGAAAGTCTCCCAACCCAAACTGGATTGCAAGTCCTTACGTAAAAGTGATATCAATCAAACATTCATTAAGCAGTAATAGTTGTCTTGTAAAACGCTTTCAAGTTCAAGCATTTTGAGGCCAGCATTTTATAGAAACATTCAAACTGGAGAAGAGGAAAGATCAAGAAACAGCAGATGTAATTTTGTCACCACTTTTTGTTTATGAACAGCCAGAGCCCTTAAGAACCGCTGTTATCGGGAAGCACATTCAGTTACAAGTTACCTAGTTTTTGACTGAAACCTCAAGGTGTGCAAAGGAAACTTGGGTAGCCAGGAAACTAGAGGTGGCTTACAGCAACGCGGGATACCAGGGATTCTCATCACACATCCAACTTCGAGTACTTAAACTCCTAGTTCAAGAAACAGCACCAATTTCAGAAACTTCATTGGAAAAAGACTTTCACATGAAACTACTCTTCTATGACCTACTTCTTTAACTACGTATACAAGTCAGAAAATCAAGTGCCTATTAAGTGAACTGTTGTCTAAATGAGCTTGACTTTGACAGACAAGTTCTGTAGGTACATGCGAGCCCATCACCCCAAGCAAGGTATAGCCCTGGCTTCTCTTCAGTCACTGGCAAAGTTCCCTGAGCACTGGAGCCAAGATTTCACCCCCTCCTGTGCAGGTGGTGGGGCTGAAACAGCATTCCGACTAGGGGAAGTGCTTTGGCAGCCTCCCCTCTTCCCCTCCCCCTTGAAACACTGATGCCTAACATTGGCCTCTGCATTTAGGGTATTTTTTTCCAGCTCTACCACTATATTGTGCAACCTAGTTGTACAGTTTTCCATATTGTAGCATATTTTCTTCTCTCAACTTGAGGTTTGGAATAGAGGAAAAACAAGGATCAGCTCTTATGACAGATGTGCAGATCAACAAACACAGTTGGGTCTGTTACTGAATACAAATATCCAAACAGGATAGATTTAACTAGTCTAGAAAGCAGTATTTTTGTATGCATACTGCCAAGCCACAGATCCACTCGAGCAGACATTTCTCTTCCTCTGTACCCTAATTCCTTCATTAT